ATATCGCGAATCCTTTGATTTATATCGGGACTTGGGAGTGAGTTCATGGATCTTTTGATTCAGATCGGAACTTCGGTGCGGGTTCGCAAATCATTTGATTCAGATCGGAACTTCAGAGTGTGTATCGAGAATCATTTGATTCAGATCGGGACTTCAGAGTGTGTATCGAGAATCATTTGATTCAGATCGGGACTTCGTAGCAGGTTTGCAAACCATTTGATTAAAAATCGGAACTTCGGATTGTGATTCATTTGATTGAGATCGGAACTTTGGAGTGCATATCGCGAATCCTTTGATTTATATCGGGACTTGGGAGTGAGTTCATGGATCTTTTGATTCAGATCGGAACTTCGGTGCGGGTTCGCAAATCATTTGATTCAGATTGGCATTTTAGTGCGGGTTCGTAAATCATTTGATTCAGATTGGGACTTCAGTGCGGATTCGCGAATCATTTGTTTCAGATCGCGACTTCGGTGCGGGCTCGCAAATCATTTGATTCAGATTGGGACTTCGGTGCGGGTTCGCAAATCATTTGATTCAGATCGGGACTTCAGTGCGGATTCGCGAATCATTTGTTTCAGATCGGGACTTAGGAGTGAGTTCATGGATCTTTTGATTCAGATCAGAACTTTGGAGCATGTATCAAGTATAATTTGATTTAGATTGGGACTTCGGATCGTGTATTGACAATCATTTGATTCAGATTGGGACTTCGGTGCGGGTATTGAGAATCATTTGATTCAGATTGGGACTTCGGTGCGGGTATTGAGAATAATTTGATTCAGATTGGGACTTCGGTGCGGGTATTGAGAATAATTTGATTCAGATTGGAACTTCGCAGCGTGCAATGAGAATTATTTGATTCAGATTGGGACTTCGGTGCGGGTATTGAGAATCATTTGATTCAGATTGGGACTTCGGTGCGGGTATTGAGAATAATTTGATTCAGATTGGAACTTCGCAGCGTGCAATGAGAATTATTTGATTCAGATTGGGACTTCGGTGCGGGTATTGAGAATCATTTGATTCAGATTGGGACTTCGGTGCGGGTATTGAGAATCATTTGATTCAGATTGGGACTTCGGTGCGGGTATTGAGAATAATTTGATTCAGATTGGAACTTCGCAGCGTGCAATGAGAATTATTTGATTCAGATTGGGACTTCGGGGCATGTATCAAGAATCATTTGATTCAGATTGGGACTTCGGTGCGGGTTCACGAACCATTTGATTCAGATTGGGACTTTGGTGCGGGTTCACGAACCATTTGATTCAGATTGGAACTTTGGTGCGGGATCGCCAATCATTTGATTCAGATTGGGACTTTGGTGCGGGTTTACAAATCATTTGATTTATATCGGAACATCGGTGCGAGTTCATGGATCTTTTGATTCAGATCGGGATGTTTGTGCTTACCATGGTTTAACTAGGCCTATAGTAACCCTTTTTTTCACCTTAAGAGAACACATAAGATGAATATTATAGAGATGCAGTTAGGATTAACAGAACTTTAGATAGTTTGCATGTACGTGTCTAGATCAACTTTGATTAAAGAAAAGAGAGGTTTAGAGCCAGATTTTTGTTTATGTATGTGAAATTGAACTAGCAGGAAACACAACTTAAGTTCTATCTTCCTAAAATAGTAAAACAATCCAAAGAAATCATCTTTAAAACAGAAACATTATGATAATAAGATGAACATTAAATAAATCTGATGTGGGAACAAAACAAGTGAATGAATCTTCCTCAGAAGAGACAAAAACAGCAACCCACTTCAGTGTCTGACTTTTTGTGAAACTTGGATTAATTCATTAATCTGCTGTTAGAGCTCTTCATATTTAAGGAGAGAACTATAATTTCCAAAGGCATCGCTTGCTATGATTTTCAAGGGTGTAGAATTTGGTAGAGATACTATGACATGTCCCTACCAATGTTGTTTTGTTTTAGTTTTGTATCAAACATCTCAAAGAGGACTATGCTGATTGATTTGTGTCTTTATCATTTAATGTGTTTTTGATCGGATATGCTTTTACGCAAATCATTACAATAACATAAATACAAACAATAGAAGTATAAAAACATAGCATTTGATCTCTAAATCAATTAATTACATCATCAAATCAATTAATTACATCAGAACTACATCAAAAGGAATATGGTTTTGGAAATCGTTGATGCATTTGAAGCATTTCATCAGTGAAAAGTGTTACATGTTACAGAAAAACAAAGCTAAAATATCGGCTTTATTCACAATAATCAGAATGATGACATAACAATAATTTTCATATTCTCAAAATAGTCACACGCAATATGTTGGTATACTGGAAATAACGATTTGACATAAATAACCATCATATTCACAGCCTGCCTGTCTACCCACAACACACCGCGACGTCACATCAGAACATAGCAGCAACTCTCAGAACCTTCCAGAACCTCACTGTAGAATAAGGAAAGCAAGTTTGGTTCGGTTTTAGTTTCAGCCAAATTAAAAAAACTGAGACAGAAACAGCTTTTCTGGTAGAATAGGAGCCCTCTGTTTGTCGTCTACACTCTTAAAAATAAAGGTGCTTGAAAGCTTCTTCACAGCGATGCCATAGAAGAACCTTTTTTGGTTCCACAAAGAACCATCGAGTCAAAGGTTCTTTACCTTTCTTAGCTTTTTATAAGCTGAGGAACCTTCTTTCGCCACAAAGAAGCTTTTGTGAAACAGAAAGATGTTAAAGGTTCTTTATGGAACCATTTAGACAAAAAAGGTTCTTCTGTGGCATCTTTATTTTTAAGAGTGTAAGGACCCCTGCTGTTCACGTTTAGAACTGATGCTCCCCACCATCCCTGAAACATTAAAACATCACTGAACCAACACCAGATTCCTTCAGGTACAAAACACCTCCCTCTGTGATGCACACTGTGAGTCAGCACAAGTGTGGAATAATTAAAATGTCTTTGAAAGAAGTTTCTTCTGCTCACCAAGGCTGCATTTATTTGATAAAAATACAGTAAAAATGTGAAATATTATTAGAATTGAAAACAGCTGTTTTCTCTGTGAATCTCTGTTAAACTGTAATGTATTTCTGTGATGCGCAGCTGTATTTTCAGCATCATTCCTCCAGTCTTCAGTGTCACATGATCTTCAGAAATCAGTATAATATGGTGATCTGCTGCTCGAGAAACATTTCTGATTATTATCAATGTTGAAAACAGTCGTGCTGCACAATATTTTTGTGGAAACTGATGCATTAAAAAATCTTGAGTAAAAAATATAAATAAATGAATACTTTTATTAAGTAAGAATGCTTTAATTTGATCAGAAGTGCCGGTAAAGATATTTATAATGTTACAAAAGATTTCTATTTCAAATAAATGCTGTTCTTTTGAACTTTCTATTCGTCTGTGAATCCTGAAAAAAATGAATTACATTTTAAATGTATTACAATAGAAAACTATGGAAGCTTGTTTCTACAGTTGCAAAATTTTATCTCACAATTCAGAATTTTGCATTTATATCTCACTCTACATCTCAATTCTAAGGAAAAACGTCTTAATTAATTATGAGATACGAACTTGGAATTGCAAGGAAAAATGTCTAAATTGTGACACAGTCACAGAAGAATTATCTTCTTTTATTTTTTATCGCGAGAGGAAAAAAAACTAAATAGCAAGAAAAAAGTCAGAAACATGAGAAAAAAAGTTGCAATCACCTTTTTTTTTTAATCCAAAATTGAGATTAATACATCATCTGAAAGCTGCATAAATAAGCTTTCCATTGATGTATGGTTTGTTAGGATCGGACAATATTTGAAAATCTGGAATCTGAGGGTGCAAAA